GGGAGACTTATTATTATTATTATTATTATTATTATTATTATTATTATTATTATTATTATTATTATTTAAGGGTGCTTCAACAGCTGTTATTGGCGCCCACGTTAAATTATTTAAGAGCAATATGCACTGCAGCAGTGTCAGACAAACATTTTTTAACGCACGGTAAAATGTGAGTAAAACTGAAAATAAACGTGTTGATTTTTTTTAAACGTTGGCAGAAAAGAGCCGGATAAACACTTTAAAATCTCTAATTAAAAGCCAAATAATCGGCATAATCCTCTTCACTCAGATAAGGTCGCTCGCAGGTAGACGTCGAGTGCGGAGAAGTGAAAGGCCGGGGATGTGGACCTCGCTTAGAACCGGGCGCGCGTAAGCGCGTGGGCTGCGCGCATCCGCCCTGGCCGGGCGGTTTCGACGCAGACGGAATATTCTTGCTCGATAGGCGGTGGTATTACGATACTTTGTGCAACTGTTTTGGCCACCCTCCTTATGATAGGAGTGGAGCAAAACCCTGGCCCCGCTATGCAGGCTGTTGCGGATACATGCTCCAAGTGCGATAGGAGTGACCGGAGAATACGCAGATTGGAAGCAGATCTGGCCCAGGCCCACATATTTATAGGAGAACTGACGCTAATCAAGGAGTTGTCGCTAATCATCAAGTTGGAAGAAGTTGTTAAAGGTAAGGAAGAGCGGGATGCCGAACGCGATGAAGAGTCGAGAAATGTGCGGGCAGTCAGATGCTCCGTATACCGGAAAAGTCAAGGACATCGAATGCGGCGGCGGAGGCGGCGGCGACGGCTTCGAGGGACGCGCCTTTGGGAGCCGTGAGCGAGGAGAAAGTCTACTTAATGTCTACTTAATTAGGCCGAAAGAACTTTTCATATCTTGTGAAGTTGTTGAGGGAGTTGGCGACCATAAAGCGGTTATTCGTGACTTGGACGAAAATATTTCAAGGAAAGGCTTTACGATAGGAACAAATGTACGCCAATACAGGAAAGCAAATGTAGACGGACTTCAAGATGTTTACCGCTCTCTGAGAACAGAGTATGTAAGAAATATGAGGCATTCAAAAATACATTCAAAGCTTTGAAAAAGTTTGTTCCGAGCAAAATTTTAAAAAATAATTCTGATCCAGAGTACTACAATGCAAAAATTAGTCGAAGAGGATAACGTGAAATGCATTTAAAAATAGAAAACGCAGTAGCCAGCATATGAACAAGTACTGTACTTCAGCTTCTGGGTCAATTACCCAGATGTAACTTCAAATTAATTTCTCGACATAGCGTCACACACAGTTTTAACCGTTTTGACCTAAGTAAATAAATATTGGCGAAACATGGACAACGTTCGTGTAGTATGGTGTTCTGAAGTTAGACGAGACCTGGCTGACGGATGTCACGATAGTTTCATGGGACAGCTGCATGACCCTTGGCCCATAGCGGCATATGCACCCCAGTGTCATTTGCCTCAATTGACTTTTTTCTATATATCTTGCCCCCAGGGCCCCTCTTTGATACCCAGCGGCATATGCCACTGTGGCCTTTGCCCCCCCCCCCACCGTGTCCTTTTTTACCACCAGACATCTGCACTTTACGTTCTTTACGTATTGTTTGTATGTTCTTTGCCTATGCTCGGGTACCATGAATATCCTTGACGGAAGTCAGGAATTGAATTTCTGGATTGCACATAAACGTATTCTTTGACTCTTTAAACAATTATACAATAAAACAAATGATACTTAATTCAATAATCCTGTTCACGACCTAACGTCTTTGCAAACACGTACAAGTGCCCTCTTCCTTCGCCCCAATTTACTGTTGCGCCTGCCCCCGGCGCGACGGCGGCCTTCCCAGCTGCCTCACCTTCCGCCTACCGCTTCGCTTCCCTCCACTTGTCTCGTGACGGCGTCGTCCCGTTCTCCTCTGTTTTCTTCTTCGCTTTCCCGTTGCCTTCGTGTGAAATCTCACGCATGACGCAATTGGTGAAATGCGCTTAGTCCTTCGGCGTACCGTGCAGGACTCAGTTATTCACAGCAAGTTATTTAATAACGAAGTATTCTAGTTTGTTTGTTTTTTTTTTTCACAGCACCGACCTTGCTTCAAATACGTGGCCTAAACAATCCACTCCGTATTAACTAGTTTAATTAGAGTAGCCTCTTTTCCTCAAATTATTTCAGGTTCGAAGAAGAGAGGACACATCTCTGCCAGCATCTCGGACACCACTTGCAGCCCGAGACCATCGCAAGGGGAATCCTCAGTTCCAAGGAGAAGGGGAAGCAGTGGCGGCCTTCGCCGCCCAGCGAGACGGGCGGGTGAGAAGAGCGCCCTAAACGATGCCAAAGGCTAGGGGCGCCTAACGGCGGTTGTGTGGGGTTGAAGAAGCCTAGGGAGGTGGTTTCAGCAAGAATCTCACAATCCCACGTCGTGTCTTTTGAAGATTTGGAACCTACCCCCGTAAAAAAGGACCTATCGAGTCGGGTAGAGACCTCCCGAGACTCATCCACAATGCCTTTGCAGTATTCTCTCGTCAGCATTTTAGGTTTTCTTGGCATGGAAAGATAGGGCAAAAATATAAATAATAATCTTAATGCTGATGCTAATCTTAATCATAGCGCTAATTACCATGCGCTGAAGAAATTTATAGGGCTCCATTCAAAAAATCTAAGTTACATTGCTCTGCAACAGAAAAGTTTGAAGTCAACAGTACTAATCAGCTTTCTACGTGTCCCTTTGCTTCTTTTATTAAATACAATAGTTTTAGTAAAAAACACTACCCAATATCTGCAGTGGATCAAGAAACATTTGAGAGGATCATCATTAAGTGCACCACAACCATAATATTCTGTTTTCGATATATAATGTCAATTTTTAAAAAAATATTCAATTTTTATAACTGAAATATTGTCTCTTGAGAAGGTGCCGTTCCTAACCACCTTCCTCATGTGACAACAGCATACAACCACTCCTCCTAGTTCTGCTTTCTATAAAATACTATTATTTGATTTATATATTCACAACTAAACATTGAATGCAAACTTAGGACATTACAGTTTCATTCAATTTCTCAGTTTAAAGGAATTGGGAGCTGTATGTCCTCCTGATAAGTTGAATGGCTATTGTTTTTACATTACAAAATACTGGCTAAATAAAGAACACTTCTCTGTCAAGTAGTCATCCAAAAAGATTTTTAAAAACCCCAGAAAGTTATTTTTTTATTTAATAGTCCTTCAGAGAATATCCTAAAAAGAAACTATGATATTAATTTTAACATTAATAATTTCATGAAAATGATATCAGACTAACAAAATAATTGCAAATATATTAATTACTTTATAAACGTAAATAAATAATTTCTCACCCATCTTGTCCGTATGATGCAAGAACAATACTGGGACTAGAGTAAGCATTACTGGTCACCCAAGTACAATGAACAGCAAAGAGCAGCAACAACATTAGAATGACCACAATAATAACAGTCCGGATGTTTGTTCCTAAAGTACTAGGTTCTTTCTTCTCCTCATGTTTCATTTTGCGTAACTTTCCAGCCTGAAACAAGAACATATAGAAATATCTACAAATAAATATGATTATCATCTCTACAATAAAATGTTCCACACTTCATTTCTTTCCGAATGTAAGAATATACACTACCTTTGAGTAGTCACGTGATCATCACTTCTATGAGAATTACAGTATACCCCGCTTTGACCTTCACGCATTTTCCTACCTTTTACCTAATTTCTCCTTTGTCCCGTTGAAAAGCCTATACAATGCATTCTCTTCCCGCAATTTACAACTTCATATAAAGAGTGTATCCCGTCTTTTACGTCCTTTTGTTAAAATTTATTTCGCTTTTTTGCGGGCGAGCGGGTCACAGAGCCAGCAGGAGGGCAGGCGAACGCCAGGAGCAGCCTCCCATCGCAAGTTATACGTAGTGCGGCACGCATAAAAAGCAGAAATGACTGGTTTCCACCCAACAAATGTTTTTCACACCACACACAACGAATTGAAATTTCATTATCACATTCTTCTTTACATTGGTTTTTCATGTTTAAGGCAATATTTGACGGGCACTACAAATACAGGAGGTTATATACCTTGTAGCAAACCAAGAATACTTTATCATATTCGGGAAACGAGAAGATGAACATTGAAAATTAATGAACGATTGCAATTGAGTTGTGTCTACTGGAAACTTTGGCGTTTATACTTTAGTAAGACATTTTTTTTCTTACAAGCGGCAATACATAGCTTTCCACTGTCGGAAGAACTTATCTAGTGGTTGAATTTTTCCAGTAGTTCCCGGAGATATCTGGAGCAATTCAATTGTCTTGCCTGGAGGAATATCTTCAATACAAGTTTTGTCATTGTACGTGGTCTATGAATCTAAAAGCAGAGCAAAATTTTCACTTCCAAATGGGAAGAAAGCTTCTTTAAACCACTGTTTCAACTCTTTCTTTCCATGGGAAAAGTATTCCTGATTTTGTATCAGTAACAATTAGGTTTTCGGCTTGAAACATTCTTTTTGAGATTACAAGACCGAAAAATCCTTTTGGTTCCTGCAGCACTATAAATAATTTAGGCAACAAATATTCATTCATATTTATTGTTGGCATTTTAGTGTACAAGTGTGATAAAGCACTAACTGATTGAGCAACTGTCTTAATGTATTTTTCACAACAAACACAAAGACCGTTTTGATCGCATTTCACGTTCACATCCACTTTGGTCTGTACAGTACACAGAAGACTGAAGAATGTGAAAATATCTCTCCGGCATTTTCAAGAAATTCTTCAGCAACCACATCCTTATCGGTTTTGTCGTGTCCACGAGTGCGTGATACAAATTGTTATTTTCTTGCTCTTAATGTTGTGTGCTTTTTTTAAAACGATTGATCCAGATGTGAGAGGCGGAAAAAAGGTCTTATTTTCGTTGGCAGTTCCTTGTGAAATTTTCATGGTCCACTGTCGCAGATCTTCATCATTCACATTTTGATTTGTTTTTCTTGCAATTTCAAAGCAGGACCAAAGTCTATCATACATTTTTTGTGCGTTCTCTAGTATTTGCTGTCATGTTTTCCACTTGCTTCTCCCACAAATACACTTGTCACTCTGACATCACGCGGCGAAAATTTCTACGAACATGTGAATATCTTTACCACAGCTTCCTTCCTGTAGCAAATGCTAACATCTTCAATTGAATTTTTCACAGGTCTTGGATAATAAACTGAACCTGAGGATTTGCAGGATGACTGACATTTAGAATCACTAGTTTTCGGGGATTCGCTGTCTGATTCTAATAAACACTTGTCCGTATCATCACTCATGGTAGAATCTGCTTATTGCAGTCTGTATTGTAATGCACCTGGGAGTTACACTATCAAAGGGAGAATTGCCGTCACACTGAAGGTGCGACGGTCATTTTCAGACAGCAGGGTGCACGCGCTGAATTTATTTAAAGGGCGCCAAGTCTTACGGGCGCGTGTCTTACCTAGTATCAGGTCATCGGCGTTGAGTATCTCAGGGGTGAGAGCCCTGGGTCCAAGGATTGCATTTGGCGCACTGACTACAAGTAATGCACAGGCTATATTTCTTTGTGTTACCGCCAGACCGAATGGCGGGGTCACGTTTATTATGGATAAATTGTCTCTCACATACAATTATCTGTTGAGCTTTCCTCTGGCTGATAATAAACATGGGCGTCAATTCACTTACAGGATGGTCAACATCAGGCTGGGCGGGAGATCAGCCGTGGCCGTCCGCGAAATGAAGAGTCGGTTTTGATGCGCCGATCGCAGGTCGTCACACGTCGCCTGAACCGCGTTTTGTCATTTGCAGCCGAATGGTCAGGCTGCACACCCTCACGGATAATTTCAGGGTGTCGGTCCTATTATTCCAGCCCGGCATCCAGAATGAATTTCGATGCAGAGTGAGGGCTGGTAGATCGATCGAAGAAAAACCGATCGCCGAGCCGACCGATCGCTGTCGAGATTCTTTCTCTAATAATCCTCTGGTCTTTTAGCACCCTCAGCTCTCCCGATTCCCGTCCCCATCCCTTTCGCAAGATGCGTGAGCTCTGTCACGTGCGTAGCGCGAAGCTTTTTATTGGCTTGTTCAAAGGTTTCCAGAACATTCTGTCACCCGAGAGCTGTGATTGGGTTAAGGGGACCGCACATTTTTGCAACCTTCACTTCTTAACATGTGATTGGTTGTTTATTGTTCTCCATCTAGTGCCTACGTGACTCGACACACTCTGCGACCCTTCAACGAAGCTTCGTGGTTTATTGCCCCTTAGGGGTTAGCTAGCGAGCTGCCCCCGAGTCTCTTAATACGACTGTTCCGGGAGTCAATCACCTACTACCAAACACAAAGGTCGTAGGGGTGCTGTTCGGAGGCGGGCGACCGTCGGGGACTCCTCGGGCGGCGAAGCGCGTAGCTGCGCAAGATGAAATGGGCCAAAAGCGCCCTTCGCTTGGAGTTATTTTAAAAAGGCGTGACGCAAGGGGCGCGTTATGCGATAGAGTATTGTGACTCATTGCAGTATCACTGTCACTATCACTTGATTCACAAACACTTCAAGATCAATTCAATGATGCATCAACCCATTTCTCGTTCTTTTCATTTACACATCCAGTTCGAAATAAACCTTTATTAGGAAAGTAACTCAAGACGAACTCGAATATGTTAACGGGATTTCAAACAACTTGCTCTGTGGCCATTGCGGATTCTTTCTTCGGTAACAAGGATGAACTGGGTGCGAACCTACGCAGCCCTTGTTTATTGCGATCATTTTCCAAGTTATTATGTGTTTTAATGCTTTATGTGGAGTCCTTGTATTGGAAACTGGGAGCAAATATTTTGGATATGGGATTATCATAGTGAATTGCGTGTCATAAAAATTTCGAGGGGTGTTTCAACATGAAGGATGTCACTTCCCTTGTCAGTATTTACAATAATTTACGATGTATATGTAGGGTTTGTACAGAGTCCTACCAAATATAATAAAATATTTGTTTTCAATTTAGAATTATAAACAAGTTATGAAAAACAAACACTTTTAAAATATAACTATTTTTAGATAAATACTTTAGTCCTATCAAATAATTTACAAGGACTACTGCTAGATCCTTCAGAAAGAAAAACATTAAAATAAACTAAAAGATAAGTGTACATTGCTACCAATTTTCTCTCATGCTACTCAGTAACAAATGTGTCTTGTGATTATCAATAAATCTACAAGTATATAAAATGTTCCCTATTTTTCCTATCAAAATCTTAGCATCAAATCTTAGCACTGCATTGAAGGCTTCGATGCCAACGTTTAACGCCATCATGAAGAAGGCATTGCCCGGCATTAAGCTAGAGCTCTTGAACTGATATGAAATTTAAAGCAACCACCATTCTATTCCAACTACTTCAGTTTATGAACCTTCATGTAGTGGTTATTTAGTAACTAGTTCACAAAATTAGTCTTGAATGAAATGTTGGCAAAGCGACAATAGGAACCGAATCTGGCATTTTCAAATGAGCATGCCAGCATTGTAAATAAATTTTATAAGAGTTGCAAACATTATTTCTCAGCACAAATTCATGGACTCTTACATTGAAATCATTCTCAACATGCAAAACAGGAGCCATGCTGATTCCTATCGTTCCAGTGTTTTGTTTACTTTGCGGTAAATGTACAGCAAAGATGACTTGTACGCATACCGCAAAGTAACATTTCAATTGAAAACAGGAAAGGTAAGTACTAGTTTCCATGCACGAGTGCTGGAAAACTACATTTTCATGATTTACTGAACTTTGCCTAATTATTTTTTCTCTAGTATTCAAAATAGGTCTGATACCTCTTTGGCCCAGTACAATTCTCAAGCCTTACCATCACATAAAAAGCAAATAAATTTAGTAAAAACTTTACTGAAGTAGAATAACATTCCCATAATCCCCATGAAATGTATAACAAATTTCCACTAGTAATTCTCATGACTCCACATTCAATATTTGGAGTTGTTCATATTCAATTACTTTCAATAGTTCTATACTGTTATTTGCTACAATCAAATTAATTATGCAAAGGAGAATCATTGCAGTTAGAGACAAGATCTTGAGGTACTTCATCAATATGTAAAGGAATGTAGAGGGGGGTTCATGCAGTGGGGTGGAGTGCAGGTAGGGTGAGGACTCGTTGGGTTGCGGGTGGGACGTGACATGGGGTTGTGGGGTAGGGGTCCGGTGGGTACAGGGCGGTGAGTGGGATAGAGGGCTATGTGGGGTGCCGCGGCAAATGGGTGGTACGTGGGATGCGATGGACGGTGATGAGTCGCGTGGCTTAGGCGGCGACAGGAGGAGTGGCGTGGGGGGTGTGGGATGGCGTGGGGGCGGCGTGGCGTGGGGGCGGCGTGGGGTGGAGTGTGTGTGATCTAAAAATTTTGTATATAATCATCACAATACAATTTACACACTGTACATGACATTTTATGAGATGAACAGATATTAGTTACAAAAATGTGGATGAACAAGAGATGTTGAATATTTCTGGTATCGCCT